TCTAAATATAAAGTTAATCCAAACAAACGTTGATATTAAAAATAAATATATAATAACAAATTCGTTACATCAGACTCTGGAATATTACCCACTACATAAATAAGATCAACTGGTCTATAATATCCAGGGCAACTTTTTTCACCACTTTAAAGAAAAGTAAATTTAGCAATTCTTAAATACCTGGGGAAACTTTGTCCAGAATTGTTGCTTTATCTATGGTTAATTTGTCAATCACTTTACTTATTAGTCACATAGTAGTTGTATATGTTTGGTATGCATACTTCATTCTCATTTCTCTTGAAACATAATTTATTTATAATATTTTCAGTGCTGAAAAAATAAAATCTGTGTGTGTATATATCGGAACATGAAGCCCCCAGTGGAATAGCTGTATGTCTGAGGACTTACAACGCTAGAAACCGGATTTCGATAATCGTGGTGGGCAGAGCATAGATGGCTCTTTGTGTAGCTTTGTGCTTAACTAGAAACAAACAAACGGAACATGAAAGTATTTTGTTTCTTTGTTTGCTTAAGGAATACACTTCCTCACTATTGGTTTGGTTTGTTTTGAATGTCTAGCAAAACTACTCGAGGGATATCTGCACGTTGCTGTCCCTAATTTAGTAGTGATAGACTAAAGGAAACGGAGCTAGTCAACATCACTCACCGCCAACTCTTGGGCTATGCTTATAACGCCCCAACGGCCGAAAGGGCGAGAATGTTCAGTATTTGAACCCACGACTAGCAGATTAAGAGTCAAGTGCTCTAACCACCAGGCCATACCAGCCCTTAAAAGTGTTTGAAGGTCGTGGAAAAGAAACATACATATATATATATATATAGATATGTTCAGAAAATTTTATCGATAATTAATATTGCCACGTTTTGTTTAAATGTTTACTTATTATCATCAGTTATATTTTATTGCTTGAATGCACCACACCAGAGGAAATCTGCTTATTATGACGTTAGATGGCAATCAATTTTACCATACTGTTTACGTTGAATCACGTTTTCGTAAATAATGTCAACCGTTATACCTTGATTAAAGTTGTTATCATTTCACACCCACTTTGTGTCAAAAACCACCAAGTGATGTAATATTGTCCCGCCCATCCCTACCTTGTTTCCTTAAATTTTTTTTGGTGCTCCAATTCCTACTTCGTAATTTTTTATTTAAAATTTTTTTATACCTGTTTGAAAGCTAGTACGCAGTTATATACCACTTATGACTTTATTATTGTTTTTTAAAAATATATTTTTATCATTGTATGTTTTGTGGTTGCGCGCACTTGCATATAACATGCGCCAGTAGTTTAGTTCTGCGGGTCGCGAGTGAGTACAGATCTCATGTGCAGGTGTGAGAGCACCCACGGGCGTCGAGAGCCAGCCCAGGCCCCGGGGTCTGTAATATCATATATTTATTCATAATCGTAATAAAATTTCAAACAGCATTCCCAATTTGAAAGAAACATTTCTAAAAACACATTTCCTTTCTAATAATTCTCCATTTATTAACATACAGCATGCTAGCCTAAAATATTTGGGGTCCTCATTTTCCTCGGGGCTCCTGGGGAGCAACCCCGTCTTCCCTATCGTTTACCCACCACTGGGGATAATGGCAATCTATCATTTCTAAATTTAGCACTATACCACTGTTGCAAAAATAGCTTGTTACTTTAATGGAATGACAGATATTTAACTTTTAAAACAATAGTGAACCTTAAATGCTAAAATATCTCATTAGTTGCAACATATATATATATATATATATATAAATTCTATACAATTTTTACTTTCCGAAATGCACTGTCATATGACGAATTATTTAATTTTACTGCCAGTTGTAAAAAGATGCTTCTCCAACTGCTCATTCCAACTAACTTTGCTCTTTATTTTTAGTGGGGTTAGTTAGGTCAGTAAATTTGGGTTCTGGTGACCTTGATTTTTTCTGTTATTACGAGTTGAGTATTTAATAAGGAGGAAGAGCAACCATAGAGTAGCTCACATCCTTCCAATTTTTTCAGTTTCATACAACATTATAAGTTACACTTACAGTACTAGTCAGTGGGGCGAATTGTAAAAATACCGTTTAGTTCATTATGACTTTATATGGGTCATTTGAAACAAGTTTTAAGAAAAAATATCGTATGAATATTGTGGACGTGGCACACGCTCAAACTGAATGCGTAATATTTCTTTTCCGTATCCTTGCTACAAACTATAGGCCTAAGCTCTACAATCTACACTACAGTGACTATCAGTATCAATAAATATTTTAATTTTTTGTTATAGCAAAAACCAAATGGCGCATCATTATCAACTAGTATCGATAATATGGTTAATAAAAACCTAATAGTTGTACTTATATAAGTTATATCGTAAACTGTATATCTAATTTTACAACTAAAGTTAGTAGGCCTAGTAGTAGTACTAGTAGTAAATGGCAGATGACAAATATTACATTTACTTTGAAAAACTTACTAACGTGGTGCCTTCTTTTGTGTGTTCTTGTTTTATCAGAACACCAGTGAATAGTATGTACTTGTAACTTAAAAGTAGTTAAATCAGTGATTTATTAACTTTTAAGCCAGTTCCCCCATTAACAATGAATGACTGACAGTGACAGCAACACGTGCTTTCTACCCAGTCAAAAATGGCAGTATCAACTCAAAAAGGAACAAATCAAAACATGGTTTTAACAGAAAAATGCAAAATTCCAGATACGAACGTTAGAAGATCTCGGGATTTTTTGGTGAAATCATTTGTAGCAGGTGGTAAGTAGGCCAAAAATCACAATTTACTTTTAAGTATATTTGCTGCACTATTATATTTATAGGCTGTAGTAGTACTATACTATATATAGTATATATATATATATAGTTTTACTTTTAGTTTTAGATCACAGATGACATTGAGAAAAGCCACAAAGTGATCTGATAAACCTCCTAAACATCCAGTCCTTATTAAACTTAAATAAAATGTGCTTTAACCAAAAGTAAATCTTGCTTTTATCCAATGCTGTTGCCAGCGTTGGTAACAATATCATTGATTAAAGCTGTTATTTTTTGAGCATATTTCAAAGTTTATTAACTCAATTTTAAAATTAAAAGAAACAATTGCCATTCAGAATAAGCAAGAGACCATGATATGTACCTCATTGTTTAATGATCTGCATTAACTTTAGTGATTTGCAATTTTGCTTTCATTTCTATGCAAGAATTTATACTTACAGCATACTTCTTCTGTTTGCAAATTATGTGCATAACAGTGTAGAATTAATTACAAATAAGATGTTTTAATGTAATACGGTGCAAACTCATAACATGTAGCAGATGCAATAAATAACATAACTAAGTTTGATATTTTGATATTATAAGAAATGATGAATTGGACATTTTATTTTTTAAGATTGTAACCAGTATCACAGTCTTTAATATTAATGCACTTGTGATCTGCTAATAGTAATACTAGAGGGCTTCATATACAAACTTGCACAGACTCATTAAATTGTTGGATGATAGTTTCAATCAACTTCTTAGATTTTGAAGTAGGTACATCATCTAAATATTCTGTAAGCCTCATAATATGTATGTGAATAGTATTATTACTCAGCCAAAAAGTGACACATCTGCATTTTCATCTATCTTCAAACAATCATTCTAATCTAGTACAAGTCACCATCATTAATCATTTTTATTTTACGATAAGAATGTAAGATTTGCTCCGAGGAAACTCTTGAAGTAGCCTGATGATAGTTCAGTATAAAAACTGAAAGTTCTTTAAAAAAAAAAAATGTTGAATATATATGTATATATCCATTTTATTATCTGTTTGTTTTATAACCTGTTTGTTAGACTAAGATAAAGCTTACATGTTTCCATCTGAACTTTACAATTTGAATTTGTAATGTTGCTTCAAGAAAGGAGTTATGTGGGGGGCAAGTCTCTGTGAAGTACGTATAAAATTAAGAGAGATAGATCAGCTTGTTAGTAGGCTGAAAGCTGGAGTGTAAGGTGATCTAATTTTACCTTAAGATTTTGTCATGTACTTATACCCTATGATCTAACTAAACAAAATTTATCAAAGGAAAGCTTAAATGATGTTATGCAAGAATGTATGGCATTCCATCATTTGGTCTAAGAAAATTTATTGCTTAGTAATAGTAAGTTTACCACTGGTGAGACATTTAAATGGAATATGGTGTTGAACTTGTAATAGTTGTAAGAGTGGAAGTTAGTGATTTAATTATAAGTTCATGATACATGAAGGACTGGATTACTTAACCTTTTTCTTGTATAGTAACAGAAATTTACTTTTTGAACTGTGTAAGTTAAAGAATCATTTTATAGCTTATATGTGTAAATCACTTAAGCTACTCATAATAACTTGGTTATAAATTGTTGCTGTTTCTGTGAAATTCAAAATCTTCATGTGGCAAAAATCAGAATAGTTTTATCATGCCATAAAGAATTGGTAGTTCTCAAAAAGTTTTTTTTATTGTTGTAAATTTATGTCAAGTTAAAAAATAAATAATCTGGATTGTGCAACTTTTTTTCCTCTAGCAGACCATTAATATAGGGTTAAGAATTTTGAGTTCGCAAACTGTAGAATCTTTGAATTGTGTATTGCAGTTGCTTATAGGTACATTAATCAACTGTATGTAGTTTGGGTATTGTCCACATTGTGTGCATTGTTTTAAATAAATTATATTGCAATGACAAATAATGTATGTCAAACAATAGTACATACAAATTATTATTACTTTGTCAGAAAATTGAACTTTTATTATTATTCGTTATTGTCAGATTTTATTATAATGCTCCAGACATGCCACTATTTAACATGGAAAACTTATTTTCGTTAAGGTGTAGCAGGTTTGTGTTCAAAGACAGCAGTTGCTCCTTTGGATAGAATTAAGATCCTTCTACAAGCCCACAACAATCATTATAAACATCTAGGTAAGCAAACTGATTTTTTTTAACGTGTTGTAAACTATTAAGACACTATAAATGGAGTCGCATGTTTTCTTGGATATTGACAAAATTATTGAAAAATATATATATAAAGATGGGACTTAATTTTTTCTCTCTTACAAAACAATGTCTTGTAAATTTACAGTACTGCAGGTAGAAGTAATGATTTCAAGAAAATACCAAAGGTGTGGCGATACAGCAGTACATTATGAGTATTGTATCGTGAAGCCGTGATACAATTGTATCGATACATTTTCCAATATGATACAATTTGTCAAGCTTTCAGTAAACATTATAAGCCTTTTGCACAGAAAAAAATCAGAATTTCTAATAAAGTATTTTTCTAAAAATTAATGATTCAATAAAGGTAGATGAGTATTGAGTACTTCATATTGTCTTTATTTCTTTTATCAAAAAATTACATGCAAACTAACATAACAAATTAACAATAACAAAGTAGATAGACAGGTACAAACCTTTTTATTTTGCTTCTCTTGCCAGCTGCCATTTAGTTGATCAAACCTGA